GCTGTTGTAGAAACCTTACAAATGTTAGTAGGATTGACGTTTTCGAAATTCTTTCGTCTTCAGGTGCATAATATTAATTTTTAAATGCTTCTTGAAAAACTGTTTGGTGTTTAGTTATGCTTTAACTTCACAGGGTTTAATTACTACATTTTAAGTTGATGATCACCATAATATGAAATAACCCACCATGAAAGCTACTATGGTTATTCTAGACAGTTTCAGTGTTATCTGTAACTAATGATCAATATTATAGATAAAAATATGAAAAAAGTCTTGGAAATATCCAAAATTATTCATAAAAACTTCTGCTGGTGATTTTGCATTATTGTTTTTACATATATTGAGCCATATTATATATAAAAATCTTGTGCTTGTAATTTTGAAGCATTTTTTTCATATATATTTAGCCATATTATCTAAGAAACTTCCATTGGTAATTTCATATAATTTTTCCATGCATATGTCCAACTTTTCTAAACAGAAAGCTATTACATAACTGCTGTATGTTACATGTGTTAATATTTAGGTAGAATACCTCCAGCAAGAAAACCAAGAATTACAAGAAAAATGTGAAGATACAGCCGAGGTCAAAAGGTCATTTGCTCATTCTACCTCCAACAAAGGATCACCACCACTGGAAGATTACAAGAAAAGCCCCAGGAGATTACCACATGATAATACATTGGTTGAAAAAGAAGACCTCGTAAAGAAACGAAAGGAGAAGGTATTTGTTACTCCTTGATATATATGAGTAGGTTTTTCGTTAATAATGTTTTTTTGTTGTTGTTTTTTTTTCTTACATCGTTGATGACATAGGTCTAGTAGATCTGAACCTGTGGGAAAAGTGTTAAATCTAAATGTGAGCGATTTGTAATTCTTTAACCCAATTGCCACGGGCATCTTTTACTGCACATGACACAAGGTTTTAGTGTCTTACAATCAACATTTTATTAAGCTATTTTTTGTTTATGTTATACCAATTAGAATAGCATAAATTCTTAGCTAATAATATATATTTTGATAGTATATGAGTTTTAAGTTCTTAATTCTACAAGGCAATATTTTAAACATCCTGAGTTTCCCCTAGTGTGAAACACGTGACACATTTAAACGTAAATTACTCTCTATAAAATCATTATTGCTAAAACAAACCATAATTTTTATAGTCTTCAATTTTGTTTGGTTACAGAGCTATCCAATAGAAAATCAGACCCCTCCTGCCACACCTACCTGTTACATCTTCTCTTTCAGAATTCGTTAATAGTTCTCTCTTAAATTTAATTATATATTACCTATAACCAATAGAAAGTCAGAGTTTTTATCTATCAATTGATGTATTGTAAAACATTAGGTTCTGAACAGTTAAATGTCAGTTTTACTTGAAGTATCAACATTGTTCCCATGAGAAAGTTAATGACTAGCTTGGATGAATTTGTAAAGACTATTGTCATATAGTTAGAAAGCCAGAAGAATTTTGAGACGTAAGGGAATTTGTCTTCATTTTGCATGTCATTAATCTATATTGTTTGGTGCATTACTTAATTAAATAAAAACTAAGTGCATTACTATCATTAGTATAAAAAATTAGGGTTAACTCTCTTCAACAATCGACAGCAAGAAAAAATAAGATTGATCAAGTTTTTGTTTCTTGTTTTTCATGTTTATTCTTTATGTTTAATTATAAACGTAACTAAAATGTAAAAATAAGGATCATTTTAGGTTAGTTAAGAATAGATTAGGTAAAATGAATAATAATAATATTATAATGAGGCACACATTCAAGCAGCTCATAGTAACTTGTGGGTAATGTAATCCATTAACATAACGTGAGCTGCACATTCCCCGAGTGATTTACATCTTCTAATCGCACAGATAGTACTTAGATATAGTTCAAAGGGCAATAAAACAATAAAATTTAATTGTAAATAGATGTATACTATTACAAACTTAGAGCTACTTAGGATAATGAATGTAGTTTTGTGTTAAAATTTGAAGTCATTCTAGAAAAAGAAATTGGGTTATTTAGATTTATTTAAATTTTTTTTGGTGGCTATGAGGTCGGTCGATTTGACCGATTCCGTTTTGAGATAGGTTAGATAAAATAACAGATAAACTATAAAGTTTTACTGAAAAAAACCATTTAAAATGCATTTAGGAGGTTTTAGGTACTACACAAATGAAATTTGAGATTTTTGAGATGATGAAAAGTATTTTTAATTTTAAGATGAAAAATTACTTTGCACATGGACTATTCAAAACAAATACTCAATATATTCATGGACATATCTATATTTCATTTTATTAAAAATACTTCACTAAAAAATATGATTTTTTGTATGTGTAAGAATTTTGTGAAGATATACATACTATATTGAAAGTTAGAAGTGTTAAATCTATAAAGACTTTAAACGAGTACAAAGAGTTTATGCAAGTCTATGTTGAGAGAGTTAATATTTTGAATGTTAGTGAATTTACATTTTATTTCTGGATTTAGGACCTAGATTCTTCAGGTGTAATTAAGAAGCTAGCTTTTGTTTATAAGCTTCATATAAATTAAAGCCTTTAGTATAATAGTCTTAAGTGTGGTTTGTCAATAACCAGATTTCTGCAAGTGGCTGTATAAATGTACTTTTTCTGCATGAAATGAAAGTGAATGCAATATTACTAAGTTTTGTTAAATTAAAATGGATTAAGAATAAAGATGAGGATTAAAATGTTAATACAACTGTTCTGTTTTTAGCCACAGGATAAGCATTTCATAGAATGGCTCAGAGTTTTTTTTGAAGTACAGATTTTTAGCTCATAGCTCCATCATCTCTTGACCAATTTGAGATCTAATTACAGTTTTGGATTCAGGATGTCAAATCCTTTCAATTGGTGTATTTGACCATGCCCAAGATCTTGTAGATTACTTACTCTGATCCTGCATAAAAGAATTTCAATTTGAGGGTAGGCTGGTAGAAATCCTGATGAGTAATAAAATCGAATCAGGTATATATGTGCCTCATACTTGGTATTGTTGATGCACAAAAATATAGCTAAAAAAAAGGAAAAAAAAAGTCTCATAGTTTAATTTACTCTAATCCTGCCACAGTTATTGAGGATTCCCTCTTGTTTTTTTTAAACATTAACTTGTTATTTTTTCATTAATATTCTAGGTCAACAAGAATATACTAATTTATTATTTTTTGAACAATAACTGAAGTTTGTAATCAGACATAATTTGTAAAAGAAATGTAACACGTAATTAAACTATATCCCATTGTAATATTTGTTGAGTGAAACTTCTGAGGAAGTTATAATAAAAACAGTAACAATGTTTATACACAAATTAGTGGGGAAAGCATTAATGAGCTAGGATAAGCTTAAAATAAGGTTAGCTTGTTTAAGATTGACTGTTATATTTTCATTACACATTCATATCATTGTTTTCCTTTGCACAATACTTGTTTAGTAAAATTCTGAATGTTTTGAGGTCATTTGTTACACAAGTCAGTAAAAAAATATTTAACAAAAGAATGATAAAAATTTTCTTTGCCTGATTTTAGTGAATATCAAGTATTCCTTGTCATATAACTATGATATTCAAGAACACTTAATTCTGGCAGAAAAATATCAAGCATTTGCAAAAATGCAGATTCCAGAAATGTTTTACATAGAGTCTAAATGACCTTAGGTAGCAAAGAAAACACAAATACAAAACCATAGAAATAACGTAATATTTATTCACACAATAAAATTTGAATATCTACCTTACTAGTCAACTTCTGATTCTCACTAACTGTTGAAACAGGGAGAAGATAGTTTTTTTGTGTCCATTCAGGATGAAAATCAGATCAAAAAGCAATCCAGAATCATAAAGATACAACACTTTTAAGTAAATCTAGAGTGCTGGTGCAATATCCCACAATCCTTAGATTACCTATATCAACAATCATTCCAATCAAACATATTCATACTAACTTGTTTATCAGGATAAGACACAGAAATTGTGCCAAGCAACTATAAAGCTTATAGAACAAGTATTGTAGTATACCTTTGTCTAAGGTAGAAGATTAGTGAAAGTGTATACTTTTCTTACACCAGGTTTACAAGGATATAATTACTATATGTAGAGCAACTGCACAAAATATATATTTCCTGAATACACCCAACCAAATTTATGTTTTAAACTAGTTATGAAAGGGTGAAATATCATGATGTATCATTATATAACCAATGCTGCTACCCAGCATAAATGTTGTCTTTTAAGGTATTTCTTAGATATGAATTTTTATGACCTTTATAAAATTCAAACATTTTAAGGTTCACATGTACCTAAATCTATATGTTTGTTGTTTATATAATACTAGTATAAAATCCCATCAAAAATGATAGGAAACCATTCTTGAATGATTAACAAAAATTATAGAATTCAACTAAAATGAATTTATCTGTACCTCCAAAATGTATCTATTCTTCATTTATTTCATCAGCCTCTAAGTAAAAACTATGCAGAAAAATGAAATATTATGATGAACAAAAGTATGTATGCACTCTGAAAGATACTAAAATAGCACTCTTGAGCCTTTTCACGGCATTCTAGGCCAAGATGTAGAAAACATAGTGTGGACATTCGAACAGAAATTTTCTAATTTTTCGACTGTACAAAGGATAAAAGATATTTGGTAGTAATAAAAGTTTAACAAATCAACATGAATATTGAGCATTCAACATAACCACTACAGTTGGCCTAAGAACAATCAGGTGATAGGTTTGTTGCTAAGCAATGATGTATATTGTTGAATATTACCAAAAAAAGAGTGTGAAAGCTTTCACGACAGAGTGAGAAAGGAAGTAAGCCTTTCATAATTAGTGATAACCCCAATGAAAGTAAATTTCTTGAATTTTTCACATAATTACAAATTATATTATCTGAATCACTACTAAAATGAAAGGAAATTAATTTTCCAGTACATTTTTCATTACTGTTAAGTCTGCTTGTTTTCACTTTTACAGTGTGCAGTGAACAGAAACTTGAAAAACTGCTTACTGATCTTATAAAGTGTTTGAAGGATTGAAAAAGCCTTAACCCTTTCTCAACAATCTCGGTATAAAATAAATGAATTTATATACACATTTGCACATGTTAAGTATTTATACTATAACTTTTAATGCAGTATGTGTATCTTTACAAAATTTGGTAGACATTTAGTAAACATTAAAAGTGTTTTGTACACAAAACAATCAGATTTTTTAATGAAGTATTTCTACTAAAGATTTGTTTCTGAATATATCGAGTCTGTTTCATTACTAGTCTGAGTGGAAGTGATTTTGATGTTATGATTAAAAACTATTCTTCATCTCAAAAATCTCAGATATAATTTGTGTAATCTCTACAACCTCCTAACTAATTTGAAATGTTTGTTTTCAGTAAAACTTTATATTTTATCTGTTATTTTCTCTACCCTAACTCTATATGGGGTTGGTCAATTTGACTGACCTTGTAGCCACCATAAAATATTAGGGAAAAATATAAATTATGCTTTTTTCATTCTAGAATGACTACAAATTATAACACGAAAACACAAATATTTAGTCTAAATAGCTTAAATCTCATAACATTATACATTTATTATTTTGATTATATTGACCTTTTCAGTTGTGCCTGGTTAACATTACAGAAATTGCAATGACACGGCACACGTGCACTCATGTTACTCTATCCAAGAATATAAAACTGGCCTTTACAAAGTGATCTGTGTTGGTTGTGTTTTAGTGGACTAGTATTTTGTAAAATGTTGTCACATTTCAGTTATAATACATTATATATGTATATAAATTATTACTACTTACAAATAAATTCTTAAACTGTTTTTCTTAAAACATAGAACAGTAAATAAAGAAGTATTGCAAACAATTATCTCTTCTAGTTATGAACTTTGTACTCGTTTGCTGCTTGTCATAGGTTGCTAAGCCTTATCAAATTTCGCATGTGGAGGATGTGAAACGAAATAATATTTTTTAGGTTTTATATATACATTTTAGATGTAACCAAAAA